CGTCCATGAGGTGCATCTGGCTTGTAGTGAGATGTACGCCGTGCGGGGAGGGCGGAGGGAGGTGGTGTGGCTTGGCGGGGCGGGGATGAGAGGCGATAGGGGGAAGGATAGCTGGTGGCACTTGGGGCGTGAGGATTGGGTGGGGAAATATGTGAGACTTTTGAGGACGGGAGCAACTTACAGTAACGTGTACAGGCCGCAGGAGGCGGCGACTACTGTACCCTTCGAAGGGTAGCGGGCAGTGATTGGCGCCGGTGCAAACAATTGCAGACTATTTGGAAACACCATGTCGTGCGCTTCCAGCAGTGCGCTCCCAGCCCTGAACGGCTGGGAGCGATGATAATACATTTATTATGCGTGCACCCTGAACTGTACTGTAAATTACTGTCAAGCGGATGCCAGATATTCCGAAGATAGCCCTTCCGCCAACTCGCCTCGTTCGTCCCGGTGGGGGCCCCCCGTACACATCGATCGCCCTTCCCCACCCGCCCGCCGCCACGCAACCATGTTCGGCAAAGCGCGCCCCAACGCCGTCGTCTCGCTGCTGCCGCTGCTGGCCGCCGCGCCGCGCAAGCGCGTCACCGTCGTGCGCGCCGCGCGCCCCGCCGCGTCGTGGGCCGCCTGGCGCGCCCCGCTGCGCCGCGCCCCGCTCCTGCGCGCCCCGCCGCTCGAGGCCCTCGCCGTCGCCTCCGTCTGCGCCGTCTGCTTCGCCCTGCTCACCGTCTCTGCCCGCTCCCAACCCGCCCACCGCGTCGACCACGCCGACTCCCGCGCCCCGACCGTCCCCGGCTTCTGCGTCTGGATGTGACCCTGAGCCTTTGTCTCCCGCGCCTCTCTCGCCCACGTGTATCCCCGCTTACCCCTGTAGCCTTTGCTTATCGTAAACTATATAATGTACTTCGCGCCCGAGGGGGGCGCGCCGCGCCCCCCCTCGTCGCGGAGCTCGGTGCATCGCCTCGTCGGCCGTCTTTACATGTCTGTCAAAACTTTTCTTTTTTTTTCCGCGCGTCCTATTCCCGTGGCCGCGCCGCCTGCGCGTCGTGGTAGCCGAACATCCCCATGAATACGCGCTGCACGGAGCGCACCGCGCTGCCGAGGTAGTAGCGAGTCATCGCGATGTACCCGTTGGGCACGTGCTGCACGGGCGTCTGCAGCATGCGCAACCGGAACGCCTCGCGCTCGCGGAGCCGCGTCTGCCCGAGCTGCCACACGTCTCGCGCGATCTCGATGCTGGACGAGGGCCGCCCCATGCTCGTCGCGCGCCCCGCCACCGCCCCGCGCAGCTCCGGGTCGCTCACCCAACGCGCCGCGCACGCCGCTATCGCCGCCGGCGACGCGTGAAACTCCCCGGACCCGGACTCGGTCACCAGCTGCACGTTGCCCTCCTCCTGTCCCGGCAGGAACCCCGTCAGGATGATTGGTAACCCTCGGATCCACGCCTCCGCGATCGTCCCCGGCCCGGCCTTGGAGCACAGGATGTCGCACGCTGCCATCCACTCGCTCATGTTGTTCACAAACCCTTTCAAAATCACCGCCACAGGCCAAGACCGCGCCCGCATCTGCTCAAGCAGCTTCTTGTTCTTCCCGCACACTACCACCAGCTGGCCCCCCGACGTCCCCACTTCCTCGGCAATCTTCACTGCGATCGCGTCCGCAATCGCCCCGATGCCCCCAACCCCATCCCCACCACCCACGAGGAGCACCGTCGGTACGTGAAGCGCCATCCCGAGCTCTTTACGCAGCTCATCAATCGACCGTGACTCCTCCCAAAACGATGACCGGATTGGCAGCCCAAGCATTCGTATTCTATCCTCCTGCACCCCGTTTTCCAACGCCATCTCCTGCAATGGCTCGCTCGGCACGAACGTCAAATCCGCCCGCCCGTCAAACCACGTCGGATGCGCCCCGCCCAAGTCCGTCACCACCGTCACATATGGTGGCGTGGGCCGTCCGTACAAGTCGCGCATGTACGCCAGTACGGACAACGACAACGTGTTCACCAGGGGATGAACAGATATGATCAAATCGGCCTCGGCCGCCTCAAAATAGCGGCGCACCTTGGAATGACAAAAGAGGGAAAACGCAAACTCGGTCAAAGCTCTTGTGGGGCGAAACTTGGCCCACATGTACAAAAACCGCCACAAAAACGGCCGCTTGGCGCAGTATGAGTACTGCTGCGGAAAGTTGTGAAACGGAAACCCGGCCACACTCTTCCAAAAATCCACCGTACATATATCCGTCGCGCCCGGATACAGCTTTTGAAACGCGGCCTCCAGTGCTTGGGCGCTGGCGCGATGGCCCCCGCCCGTATCGCTCATCAGCACCAAAATGCGAAACCGACCCTTCTCCTCTTCGTCGACAATGGGTACCTCGAAGGAAACAGCGGGAGAAGACGAGAGCGACAGGGCTGAAATGTCGGTGTGGGGGGCATCAGGAGGAGGGGCGAAGCGATTGACGGAGCGCGGCGAAGGCTTGCCTTGGAGCACTGTGGTTTCGGCAGTTTCCGGGTCATCCGCGGCTTGGGCGACGAGGGATTCACGCTCGGAGTCGTCTTCGATAGCATGCTTGGAGGATGAGAGGGCAGTCGACATGCTGACGGATACGCCCATAGTCGGTCAGTGGCGAGGACAAGGGGTAGGGGAAATTGGGTTGCAGGTGTGGGGGCGGGGAGAAGAGGTAGGGAGACATCGTTTTAGCTGACGGTGCTAATTGCGAAAAATGCGATTTACAATGTAAGGGCTGCGATACGTGTCAGCGGCAGTGTCCCGTCCCGTGGCAATCAAAAGTATCTCGCCCTCACACAGATACACCTGCTTCCCGACCGGCACCACCAGCCTGTACAACATCGACAGTGATGCAACGCACTTTAGCATTGGCAATACGCCGCCCATTTTGCACCGCAGCTGTCTCCGCGACGAGGCGAGCCGCCACGGAGACGTGGCACGCCTTGCAGGTAAGCTATCGGCGCCACGTTCGTAGCTCCTCACCCATTCCCGTCTGACATTCTCATCACGGCCTCCCCCCGCGTGTGCCTGCTAGGACATCGACTGGGTCGACCGTGAGTCGGACACACAAGAACTCCTCGTCGAGCAGGCCGCTAGACAGGTCGAGGCGTATCGAAACGAGTATGATGCAGCAAATGTCGCCGAGGGTGAAGGCAAGGTAAGTTTTGTGCCTTGCTTTCGCTAGGGTGGGTGCCTCACTTGCCCCCGCTGCTGACTTTTTTGCTTTGCATCCTCTTCAATTCATGAGGTAGGCGACGTATGACCAGATGGAGGCGCTGTATCAACTGAAGGAGGCCGCAGGGATCGTCGATAGCTACGCCGAATTTATCAACCAGCTCATACGAAAGCATGAAGACATGGTCGGTGCGATGGGAAGTAAGTCCGCGCACCTCTCGCTTGTTGCAGCTTCTTCTTGGTGATCCCCTTCACTCATGCAATCGGCGAAGCTAACCAGCACGTTTTGTGGCGCATGCAGACAACACGACAAACATGCCCGAGGGCGGCGCCGAAGAAACCTCGCAAACTATTCGCGAGTATGTCGATTTCGTCAACGGGCTTGAAAACAAGGAGGTAAAGAAAAAGGTTAAGGACGAGCTCGGCGGAAAGATCGTCGTACTGAAGATGGTCCTGTCGGCAGAGAACTTTTCAGTCAAGTTTAGTCCTGTTGCGGGGGGGGACTTCATCACGGATACGAAAAAGTGAAAACGGCGAACGCCTCATTAGAAGGTGGGGGATTATGGCACACACGCTTTAGCCAGTCTGCTTGACTCATGTTCCGTCGTTAGGGAACACAATGTCATGATATACGCGTGGGACTTTAGTCAACCATTTTGAAAATCATCCTAGCATTTCACCGCCCGTCCTCGATGCCAGACAACAGGCCTGCCATGTCACTTGCCCAAACATTGTTTGACTGCGAAATAAACAAGATCTCAGCCAGTCCAGTCAGTCAAAGGATCAAGTCCCCAAGCGCCACGTCGCCACTTCTACCGCGAAGCCTATGTATTTCTCTTTTGATCCGCCAAAATTTCCACTCTCCAAGTCCTAACCCTGGTTCCACACTTCCGCCATGGCCGCGATCCAGGGCCGCGCATGGTCAACCGCCTGCCACGCTCTGCGGCGCTCGCTTGCCAGTAGCTCCCCTTATGCGACTTCGACACCATCCCATTGGCGTCAGAGATTGGTCGCACACCGGTGTGCAGTAGCTGCTTCGATATCACCCCGCTGTTTCGCAACGAATGAAAGTAAGCGGAATCCCGATGAAAAAGCAAAGCCGTCCGCGCTTCGATCGGGGTACGAACGGGTGAAGCAAGCCACGCGTGGAGTATCTGCCATTGGCCATGCCGCTTCTTCACTGTACGCCGGCGTGTCAAGCGCCACGCGTGGCTTCAATGCCGTCTACTCTCGCGTGGCAGATACCGCCTACGGTCGCCTGATGCGACTCGACAAGCCGACGGGCACCCATCTGCTCTTCCTTCCCAGCGCATGGGCAATCTCGCTCGCCTCCTCCTCTCCAACGGACGCCATCGCATTGTCCGGGCTGTTCTATGCCGGTTCCATGCTTATGCGCGGCGCTGGCTGCACGATCAACGACATCTGGGATGCTGACATCGACCGCCAGGTCGCCCGCACCAAGACGCGCCCCATCGCCGCCGGTGAGGTGTCTACGGCCGCCGCGTGCGGCCTCGTCGCTGCCCAGGTGACCGGCGCGGCCTGGATTCTGACTAAACTAAACCCCGAAAGCTTCCTCGTAGCCGTCGGGGCGCTGCTTCCGGTGCTTTTTTACCCACTCGCCAAGAGACATACGGCATATCCGCAGGCAGCACTCGGACTCACAATGAATTGGGGAGCGTTGCTGGGGTATACAGCGGCGAGTGGAACTTTAGGTGCACCGGCGTTTTGGCTGTACGGGGCGGGGTGGTGCTGGACCATGGTGTACGATACGATCTATGCGTTCCAGGACAAGGCCGATGACGAGAGGATCGGGGTGAAGTCGACTGCTAGGACATTTGGGGATTTCACCAAGCCGGTGCTTCTGAGTTTGACTGCGGGAAAGTTGGCGATGCTGACGGGGGCTGGATTGGCGGCAGACTTGTCGATGCCTTATTTTGTCGGCACTTCCGCGGCGACAATGCATCTCGCGTATCACGTGTTTGCGACCGACTTGTCAGACCCGAAGCAGTGCGCGAAGGCGTTTCGGAGTAACAGTATTACCGGTGCGATAACGTGGGCTTCTGTTATGGCCGGGCGAGCGTTCTAAATTACAATTTGCTAACAGAGTCGGTAGACAGAATCCACGGGGGAGAAGAAACAGCCCTAGTAGAACAGCACCAGGGACTCCAGGGCAGCGAAACAGCAAGATGTGAAAGCGAAAGAGTGCATCAACCTTATCCTCGCTCTGACACCCCCGTTCACTATCACTGATGCACGCTACGCATGAACTTGTAAAGCTGTCTCACACGATTAACAGCCGCGCGACAGTCCATTACATCACTCGCAAACGCCGGATCTAGGGTAAGCATATGCTTCCGGAGCGCATCAACGTCCGAATAGACCTCGATAGTCTTAAAGCACGTCGCCTCATCCACGCTCTGAAATACTTCAAACAGCCTGGCGTCCCCCCTTTCGACGACCTGCTTTGCATGCGCGAGCAACTTGGCCTTCATGCGCGGCACGCTAATTGCCTTCGTCCAGTTGGCGTTCAAAATCTCCGTCGACACAACCTCGTGCTCCGCCAACCGCTCCTCTCCCGTCCCAAACACGTCGACGACCCCCCAGTCAACGAAATGGCTCTCCATCGGCGAAAAGGCTGGCCCGGCCCTGTCCAGCGCCTGGGTCCACTTGCCCACACCCGAATCCCCTTCCAGGGGCTCCACGATCCAGGCGCGTGGGGGAAACGGCTCGCCCCTGAGACTTCCAAATGTTGGGTCTTCCGTGGAGCGCATCGCCCATAGACGCCGGTCTGGAGTCGATTCGGACGCCTGCAACCCGTCAAAGAAGCGGTCAACGGCGCTGCGAAAGGGGGCTTCGGCATGGATGTGAAGGAAGAAGTGGTAGTGGCGCTGGCGCACAGGCAGAGCACGAGCGATGGCAAGCTCCCGTGCCAGGGCGTCTTTGTTCCGGCCGTCATACTGCTCGTATTGGTCGAAGGCGTCTTCGGGGGAGGGGGGGCCTCCGCCTGCAGTGGCGCATATTTGCGGACGGGCAGATTCTCGATGCAATGTGAAGAAGCGAAACGGCGCTTGGAATGCAGGCGGGCGGTCCATCGAACGGAGGGGGGCGGGGGATGCGCGGTTAAGGGGGGGCGTGGGGGAGGAGAGGGAACTGGCGCGGGGGGAACAATAATCTCGCGTTTCGCAGGCGGAGAAATGAAGCTATAGGGTATCAAAAATTGTAAATTGGACACCGATCGGTTTATTGCTCCTCGTCGAAGGACGCAGGTTGTTCAACAAGTCTGCGACAAACTGTTTGTGCAAGCTGTGCCGTGCCACATGGGAGCGGGCAGCAACACATAAATGACATAGAGCGGCTGAAAGCACTGGGCGATGCCGCATGACATGCGTGCTTACTCGGCGGCGTCAATAGAAACCTCGACGATAACTCCCGGCTCAATGCTGATCGACGTGATTTGCTTGACAATATCCGTGGAGGAGCGAAGATCGATGAGGCGCTTGTGAATGCGCATCTCAAAGCGATCCCAGGTGTTGGTTCCCTCGCCGCAGGGCGACTTGCGCGTGGTGATCTTAAGGGTCTTGGTTGGCATGCGCACGGGGCCCTTGACACGAAGGTCCTTGTCCTTGGCGCCGCGGATGAGGTCGGTGCATACCTTCTCCAGATTCTTGACGTTGCGGGAGGTGAGCGTGATGCGGATGCGCTGCTGCTCGACGGGATTCTCGAACCCGGGCTTCTTGAGAACGGCCATATTGTGGGGGATTTAGTGAAGCGCTACTGGCGACTTACGGTTGTTCCGCAGCGGTGACCAGACGTTATGTGCTTGAAGCGATGGTGCTGGTGAAGATGTCCGAGTACCAAAGAAAGGAGAATTGGCGCAGAGAAGCCGTCAGGGTTAATTGCGCTGGCGGCGGCCGTCGGCGGATCAGATCATATAATTTTTCTGTATCAAATGTAGTTACTAGGGGCGTTCGCCCCAACGGTGGCAATTACTCCCTGCCTGGGACGCAGGCCTCGAGTCTGGCGATGGGCAGGCCGTCGATCTCGGCGCCACTACGTACGCCTTCGTGGAGAAGGACACATAAGCGAGTGGCGCCATCACTCATTGCCCTCCCTCAAAAGACAACATCTGCAAACAAGTAAGTGGTGGGTTTCGTTGGGATCTCCGCCCCCCCCCCGCCCCCCCCCCTCCCCCCCCCTTACTTCCCCAGTCGCAAGCCCAATAAGTCGCCAGCACGATGAAACGCTGGCGGCACGCAGGCTTCGTGCGAAGCGCGTCGCCAACGCTGCGGCACGCGCGACCAGGGCATGACCTCCAAAGCTGTCCGCGCCGTGCGCCACCGGCCGCGCGGGCGTTGGGCATCGTGGCGCACTCGCGACGCACGCAGGCGGCGTCGTCCAAGCGGCGGCCGCGGCGCAAGACGGACGCGGAGATCCGGCGCGGGCGCGAGACGCGCGAGCGGAAGGCCGTGCCGCGGCGGCCGGTTGTGGCAGTGTGGAACGGGGCGGTGCTGGCGGAGAGCCGTGACTACGAGTTTCTGGACGGGCGCTTCTGGTTCCCGGGCGGGGACGTGCGGTGGGCGCTGCTAGGCGACAGCGGCAAGACGGGGTATCACAACCCGGTCGGGCTGGTGCACATGTACGACGTCGAGGTACCTCAGGGCGGGCGACTGTGGCGCAACCGCCGCGCGGCCGTCCGCTTTGACGACAAAATCAAGAAGCCATGGGACGTCATGCGTGGGTTTGTCAGCTTCTGGAAGGGCGTGGCTGTGCGCGATAAGCTCGAGGAGGATGACGTGGCGGAGCGGTTGGGGACTGAGCACACGGACTGAGCACACGGACTGAGCACGCGGGGGCAAGAGAGTGAGAGTGGGGAAAGACATGGCTTGCAAACGCAGCTCGTGAGAGTGGGGAAAGACATGGCTTGCAAACGCAGCTCGTGAGGATGGCGCGTGCGGGCAGGCGGCGCGTGCCATGTCCAGCGTTAAAAAGGGGAAATAGATGGCACCGCTTGGGGAAAAATCTCGCTACGGCTCATACAAGCGTGGCCACCTGTCGACGCCCATTTCCGCCGCCACGTCCACGCCTGCCGCCCCTTCCGCGTGAATTCCCCAGCCCCCATCCCCATTGGCCCCTCCTCCCCCCCATCCCCATTGGCCCCTGCCCCCCCTGCTCTGCCCCGCCCGCTCTGCCCCGCCCGCTCTGCCCCCCACACACACCGACTCTCAATCCAACCAACCCTCCTTGCTTCCTGTTCTTTCTTCATCCG